AAAAAAAATAACAAACAATCTTGTAAACAAAAGTAAAGATACAAGTGAAAAAGATTTACCATTTACTTTGTAAATGAATATATTTAACTCAATATTCTACAAAACGAAGTGTGTACCAAATACGAAAAGCCTTTCTGCTTTGGTCATTGACATTGATTGTAATAAGGTAAGACAAAAGTCACCGTTCCTCACCCGAGTAAGGACCGTCGGCTTCTTAAGAGGCCCTATTACGTATTTTATTTTTAGACAATAAAACTTGTGGTCAAAACAAAAACGTGCAAACAAGAGAACAAATATACCGAGGTAAACTCAGTATAAATTATACAAAGATAATCTTTATTCTACTTTTGAGGTGGTTTTACGTAAACTGAAAAATCCTTTAATGTCAACTTTATGATGTACTAAAGTAACAGTCACTATCCTTGTGGTATTGGATAAAATTCGTATAAGTACACACTTTAGACCATGAAACGGTAGGTGACGGAATAGATTAAACAAATTGAAGGCTTCCATATTGCGAAACCTCCATCCGAACGTATATTTCGCAGAAACCCAAAAGTCTTTTCGCGAGATTTTTATTTTACATAATAATAATATAGTAAATTAATATCCGGATTAATTTTACTAGGACTAGACCTAGTGACCAAAACGATGATGTAAACTTTCGAAAACCCCTGTTTACGAACTCTATAATTTTACCAATCACTAATGAAACTTAAAAGAAAAAGTGAATAACTTTTGTGTTTGAGCTCATAGTCCTACCAGAAATAGACCTTTCAATAGGTGTAGAGTAGTGGTGCAACAGTGCCGCTGGGAAACAGTGCAGTGTCTATGCCATGGGCTTGAGTCTAGCGGTGGGTTTGCTATGACGGCAACGATTCCTCCGTTTCACGTTTAAACATAAAATATAAAAAAATTTGTGTCCCAAACCAAGCCTAGCGCGGGCTAACTGCCTAAAGACTTTCCCTTACCTCGGATATGCCGGCAGTTGCGTTCTGTTCAGCTTGCTCAGGTGCGTGTGTGCGGCCTTCTTGATGTTTATACAGTCGAGACACATGAAGCATTGCTAACAACCCGCGCATAGATACCCTTAACATCAAACATCGTGACGAGAGTATAGTAAAGTTACCCAATTGAAAGATAAGAAGACACAAAAACATACAAAACTCGACTCCACGGTTGAGTTGTATGTTACAACTACTTTACTTACTTTAAACCACTACTAAGTACAAAAACACAATTACATTATCGTCAATTTTGTCCCTGGCCAGTTTAAACTGGTTGTGGTTTCATTTCATTCCCCCCCTTTGCTTATGTTATCCTCCCAAAATTACATTGGTAACGAATACTGTAACTACTATAAAATTTAGTTTTTTGTATAAGGGATTTTACACCTTCGAGACCTACGGTATGTTTACTTATCAACTATAAAAAAAATCCCGGTGTTGAAACCGGTATCTCGTGGATCACAATAGTTTGCGTAAAGTTACCACTTTGATAGGTTTGTATAACGTAATACTGTTGTAAAAGGTGATGCTACTTTCCGCACATTCGGTTTTTTTGGAATAAGACCAAGGTAGTACCCATTGGGGTGGGTAGGAGAGGTGGACGTCCGACCTGTCTGTCTATGGGGGGGTGGACCTGTCTGTTCCTCGAGGAAGAGGTTGTCTGACGACGTTCGAAGCGACAGTGTCCTTGGCTATGTCCTTTTGTAAGGACGGGTGACGTTATTGAGAAATGTGTTGTCAAGAGTGAGGGTTGGCAGGTGTACAACTGCCTGCCAGTTGAGGAACGTCATAGTTATGATTAAACCGACTTGAAAATATAAACTAGGTTAGCCATATAACCATATAAATGTGGTATTGCCACGTGTCGACTATCTTTCCCTGTGGATCACCAATTTCGTGCAATAACTTTAAATAATAAAATAATAATCTATAATTATCCTCTGTGTCTGTCTGTTTGATTATTCCGAAATAAAATTTGTAATTTCTTATGAAATCCAATTCCAGAATAAAAACTATTCTTTTTTCGAAACCCCCAATATTTATAATTCGGACTGGTTTATGATTTATAACGAAAGGACGTTACAATTGATGACATACAAATTCGTGAATAAAATTGACTATAATATGTATACATAATATGAGAATATCTTCTACATACATCTATCATATTCTTTACACGTCTTATACTGTCAATTACCACACTCCATATGTGTGTATAACTATCTACAGAAACATTACCGTGACACAACTCCTTGGAGCGCTGGGTTCAACAAGTAGAGGCTGGAACAGTCCATAACTTGTAAGTTAATTTATTTCTTGTGTCTTAATAATTTATATTTTGTGTTTAAACACACTAATAAGTATGATTTACTAAATGTTGTATTTGTGGTGACGTATAAAGTTGACAATTGTACGACTACATTGCGTGTCTACAAAGGTTGAACCCCTCAGTTATTCATATAGAATAGAATTCTACTAACATACTGATGACGGTATAAACGTTTTAAACTGGAGACTGGAACTGTTCACGTAAAAGGATCCGAATAGTAAACATGAGTCTCCCAGTGTCTGTACCTGCTCAGACAATTTATTTCGAGAAGACTGGAATCGACAGTACACCATAATATAATGGGTGATCTTCGATAAGATAGATATACCAGAACGACCAGACGTTACTTGTGCACTGCTATTGGAAAACCTGAAGGCGACAATTGAGAAGATAGAATACCGCACCCAAACATTCGCTAGCCTCTCTTAATGACATGAAGCCCAATTTTAAGAGAATTTTTCGTTACTCGACGAGCTGGGAGCCAGGACTGCCTATAATAATTAGTTTGTTTATTTATGTGTGTTCCTATGAATACACAACAACTACATTTTTTGTCACACACCAATCTTTCCTTATGTTTTAATCTTCCTTTTTGCTACTTGTTTATGTCAAAGTCATAAGACTCGGGATGAGAGGTATTGACTGCCGTTGTTTTCAGGATGTAATAAGTTAATTTTTATTTCCTTCAAATTCTTTGTTATTCACCCGAAACTATAACCATTCTTTTTTCCAACTATTTGCGACACTTTACCTAGACGCCTCTCGTAAAGGCGACGCCTAGGGTTGCATAGGAATCTTAGATATACACAATAATGTGGTTGTCAAGTATCAACATTTCAGGTATACGTTCAAGCCGTATAAAAGTATTTAATTCCATACATTAACAACAATGAAGTTAAACAATCATTTGTTCCTACACTACTTCAGCTGCTTCAGAATAACAGCAGTGAAATATATAAGAGGACTGGTGGTAGATTTGGATGTTTTGCATTTGTTAAATATCATGTGTTTGTTCTCCAACATGGGACTACATCAGATGACATGAAGCCAAGTAACTGGAAGATATATACCATACTGGACAGGGCTCCCACTCCACCAACATTTCTGCTTTTCCCTATCAAGAGAAGAAAACAAATCTCTAATTTCGGAAAGACCAAACGCATATTAGCTATTTAGCAAACAATTGTGTTGGAAGTTTGTAAATCATAAAGCACACCCTATGCATTACTTTTATTCCCGTCTAACCTTTTACACTCCTGATGGGGAAAGTTTCTAGGCGAGTGTGGTAGGAGCAATCTGTGAACATCAAAGCAGGTTCCACATACAGTATTAGTCATATTAGAAATAAAATAAATACAACTATGAACACTTAAGTAGCAACCAGACTTGCACGATGAAAAGTGACCACACTGTTATCACTGGTCAAAAGTTACTGTATACATCATTGAAATGGAACCAAGTTGCTCTCAGTCCTAACATGGGATGCTTGTTTGAATGGCCATACCACTGCTGAGCCTGAGATGACCAAAGAAAATACTGCACTGCTGCTTCCTTTACTGTCTAGCATTCTCATCACCACCTTATCAACTATGACTGTATGTATTTGAGTCTAATTAGACAATTAAAGCCCTTTGGATTTTTGGATAATGTATCAGTTATAGTTATTAGTCACAATATAGCATTGTTAACTCACTGAAGAAGCATCAATCACTGCGTTTACATGCACTTTGCTAAAGTACATGTCGATAGATTTATTAGAATACCAATCAATTCGACTCATGCAAATGTTTATAATCAGTCAAAATACTTAATACTGTTAATATACCTGACTTTTTCTTTTTGCGTCTAGGACCAAGTACTGTGTCCCTCACGGACCCTGTCCTGACAGCTGTGGGTTGAAGAAGAAATATTACTATATACATACAGTACACCAAGTTAAGCTTAAACTCAAGTTTCAAAATACATCCCACAAATGCAGCATCACATGATGCAATTGGTGTTAGGTACAGATATCTTTTTGTTATTGCGATTTAATTGAAGTCTAGGCTAGACTATGAAGTCTAGGTGTTTTGTTGTCTTGCCTATATAATTGACTCCATACTTTATGTGTAAGGAATAGTTTGATAAATATTAACATGTTGTGCTGTAACTCTAAATGAATTTAACTTTGATTCAAAAACCTAAGTTTATTCCCCGTATGTTCATTATGGGACAGTGTCGTATCTAAATGCAGTTCTTGAGTATAAAGTTTAAATATGCAATTTTTGGACCCCTTTTTTCCTTCAATATTAAAATGGGTAATGAACCTGTTAACCGAAAAAGGGTTTTTGAGGGTGGTTGGAAAAAAAAAAAGAAACGAAAAAAGGGGATTTAGTTTTTTCTCTTTCTTTTTAGAGAAATTAAAAAGCCTTTTTTTTTCTTTTGGTTTTTTTTGCCCGTTATAATTCGATAAAAATCGTTGTTTTTTAACCAAAACAACCCTTTTCAAAAAACCATTTTTTTAGGTATTTTTTTTTCGTGGGGGGTGGGGGATTAACGTTTTAAATGGAAAAATAAGGGGCAAAGATTTGGGGGAAAAAAAGAAAGTTAAAAAAGTAAAAAGAAAAAAAAATTAAAATTGGGTTGAGGACCCCCCCCTTTTCAAAAAAAAGAAAATCCCGCTTTAACCCCAACCAATTCCCTTTTTCGTTTTTTTAAAGACAAAACCACTTTTTTTTTTTTTTTGTTTAAAAGGGTTTTTTTCGTTTCCAAAAAAAAAAAGGTGTTATGTTTCAAAATAAATCGGTAAATAAATTTCTTTTTTAATTTTAAATTTTACTGTTTGTTACTTTTTGTTGAAATTTTCAATTTTTCCCGTTTTTTTTTTTTGGAACTGAAAAAACGTGCTAAAAACTTTTTTTTTTTTTTTCACTGGGTGGGGTTTTGGAAAAACAAAATTAAGGGGCCCGACCCCAGGGGGGTTTTTTATTTTTTTTTTTTTCAAATGACACTAAAATTGTTAAAAGGGTAAAAACCTTTTTTTTTTTTTTTTTTACCCCTTTTTTTTTGGGGTGTCCGAAACGGAAAAAAAAAAGTCCAAAAAAAAAAAAAAAAAGGGATTTGTTAACCCCCTAAACCGAACAAAAAAACCCTTTTTAAAAAACCCCCGGTAAAAAAAATTTTTTTGGGGGGGGGGGGGTGAAAAACGAAAAACCTCTTTTTTTTTTCCCCGGGAAAAAACTTTTTTCCCTTAAAAACCCTTTTTTTTTGGGTTTTTCCTTTTTTTTTTTGTATTTTTTTTTTTTTTTTTTTGAAAAAGAAAACCGGGTTTGGACCGACCGGAAGGGAATGAACCGGATCCGTAAAAAAGAAAAAAAGTAAAAAAAAAGGGGGGGTTGGAATTAAAAAAGTTTGATTACCCCCTGAACAATTAAAAACATTAAAAAACAGAGATTTTTTTAATTCTTTTGTTAATTTTTTTTTCCGGGGGGGGAAAACCCTTAAAAAAAAAACCTTTTTTTTACATTAAAAAAAGGGTCAAATTCAAAAATAAAAAAATTGCAAAAAAAAAAAAGTTGGGGGGTTTTAAAATTAAATCCCCCCCGTTACAATTTCTTTTTTTTGAGGGTGAACTTTTCCTTTTCCGTTTAAAAAGGTTTTTTAAAAGGGTTTGACCGGCCAAAAAATTTTGTAAAAACGGGTGAAACGAAAAAAATTTTTTCATGGTTTAAAAGCCCTTTTTAATCTTAAAAAATAAAAATTTTTCCCTTATGTTTGGTTTTAGTTTAAAAAAAAAAAAAAAAGCCCCCCCCTTGAAAAAGTAAAAAAAAAAACGGGTTTTTTTTTACAAATTTAAAAATTTTTTTAGTTCAGGTTTTTTTTTTTTTTTATTTTTGGAAAAATTTTAAAAAAATGACAAATTTTTTTTTTAATATGGAACCTGAAAAAAAGAAAAAACGCAAAAATTCCCCCCTTTTTTGGTTTTTCCAAAAAAAAAAAAAAAAAATGGAAACACAAAACGGGGGGGGTCTATGTGCCCTGGACAAAAAGATCACGACTTCTACGTAGTCGCAAATAACCAGCCACGAGATTCAAAGGAGTAACACTACTTGTCGTTACAGTCACTTTTAATACCTTTTAAGTACCCACACTTTGATTACTATGCTAGAAACTGTATGCAGACCTGGGACTTGAGACAGCAGTAGTTACCTTTCACATACACCCGGCAAAACACGTATAGATAGAAGTATACAACAACCACCTGTTAGAGATTCGGGTTACCGGGTCGACTAACGTATACATCGTAAGGGAGCTTGTTGCCTCTTTAAAAACAGACTGTACGAAAGCCTTGGGAGGACCACAACCAAGAGTAGACTAAACAACTCCTACCGACGTGACGTAAGAGACCAGAAAGAAGAACTCGAACTTAACAATTCTTACGGGACGGAAATAGACTACATCGACGGTAACACGGAACGGCAAAGAACAAAAATAAATCGAAGCCATAGAAAGGATTCGATAAACAAGAGTTCTCAGAATCAACGATTACAAAAATTAAAGAAGCCAGAAAAAAGGAGACCACTAACGTGACCATAAATGTATAAGCACCATTTACTCTACAAAGATGGTAGAAGTTACCATATGCAGATTAGGTGGTGTAGAGGACTTTTTTGTCAAAAAGACGTGACCTAATCCCTAATCACAACGCAATGTACTGAAAAACAACCAAAAATAAGATAAACATAGATACGGTATAACAACATTACAGAAATTTTAACCTTTTGATAAAGGTTACATACTCTTGGAAATAACAAACATTTTCTACGCTTTGAGGTTTGTAGTAGTGGCTTGCGCACGTGTACGTACTCCCAGTGCTCTAATTCAAACAACGTGTCTACCTTTCGACTGTCGTACATCCAAGTAAGGTCAAACGAAATCGGGCAACCCAAGTCTACTTTGCCAAACGAAAACTGTCATAATGCCGAAGGTGTTTACTTTAAAAAAATAACTAAAAAACAGGTTCTCGTGAATCTATAAGTAACGATAGCCTTACAATTCTCCGTAAGGTACCTTATATTTTTTTTTCAACAAGAGCCTCCGGCCAAAATAGTTTGAATGATGGTGGGAATTATCTATGTATTAACATACAATGAGTGGCAATATACAAAAAAGTAAGAATTATCTAAGCCGTCCGGTGTTTGTTCCTTCGAAAAACCGTAGCATCGTCAAGCAATAAAAAGATAAAGATGGTCACATTTTATACGTGTAAAATTAATTACGTTATCAGAGAGCATCCATCAATTGACAATTAACACTCACCATTGGTCGTAAACATAGAATAACATGAAATTGAAATTACTAATACAAACACGTGACCCTTGAGTCCTATGACTAGCAATGTAGAACGGTAAAACACAAACAGATAGCTTTTATTATTAGCACGAATGTTGACACATTTGGGGAAGACCATTTATATACTAAGGCGTTCTCGAATTAAGTCGTAGAATCCAAGATTACCACCCTGTATGGTGATCTACGACAGTAGTCATTAAAATATCAACATCAATATATCAAACACTACAAAGGAAAGGTAAAACAAATTGTTGTGCATTTATTGGAAAGAAACGCATCTAATGTTTTTTTATCGGTAACATAACTTGTTCACACGACGCAAACCACTTCCGGCAGTTTTCACTTTAGAAGGGTCTGAATGTGCATAACCCTACATTGGTTTTAGCCTGGGAACTTCTTTGAACATCCGGGAGTACGAACGTGATATGGAAGGCCGTCAAATAACTTCCAACATGTTTTTTAAAAAACAATTCGTTTTGAATGTCTTCTCGAATTTAGGTAGGAATACAACAAAACTAGATCAGATGCAAACCAACACAAATTTTTTCTTTTTCAGTTAATTGAATTTTCGCTAAAAAAAAGATAGTTTTGGGTTTTTAAAAACATCCTCAAATATTGTGTGTAAGAAAGATCTACAATTTTACAGGGCAAATTAAACATCGAGCGTTTTCATAATGTTTTTCAAATGTTTTCCGTGAACAAAAACGCGAAACTTGATAGTGTAAAAACGACGTGACAAATAAACTCAAAAACATATTGACCGCTATGTTCTTGATCGTGCCATAAATTGGTGTTATCATTCAAAATTTTCTCTTATAATCGATTACTTGTTGGTCTTGCCCTGTAAAACACGTTTAATAGTGACAATAAATAGGGTTATAATCCGTTCAAATGCACTTAATTTTTTGGTAAACCCATAACGATGTTCGAAACGCATAAGAAACTTTTATTTAATTTTCAACATTTCAACAATTACTGTTCATCAATCCCAAATTACTGACTTTCTGAACTCGGTAGGGAATTTGTTAAAGGAAAATCGTTTTGGCAAGGATTTTGCAAAGGAAATTGTTTTCCCTCTTATAAAATGCAATTACCATTCTCGTGTTTTTACTTTCTGCTATGGGTTCAAATGTATAAGGGTCAAACCCGTCAAGACATAATTCCAGTAAAACAGAGTCCCAACATTTTTTTTCAAATAGGTAGTGGTCTCCAAGGAAATGTAATGTAAATACAAAAATAGGTTTCGCTGAACATATAAACTAACGTGAATACGTGCAAAATTAAAAATACGTTTTTTTTTTACATAACACACCTTTGTTTTTTTATTACATTCCTTACTATACAGGGCGTGATATACAAAAAGGGGGTTATTTGTTTTAAGTCTTTTGTTTCCAGTATTTCACCTATTATAGACCCGTTTTATTTGTTCTTACTTAAAAATCCCTATTTTTAGAGAAAGAAAAATAATTGAAACTGACGTGTGTAAG